CAGCTCCTGAAGAATTCCCTTCTCAGGAATATGCGTCGACTGTGCGGCGAGCAGTCCAGTCCGGGAATGTCAACCTGAAGGACAGGCTCACCATTGAGCTGCACGGTGAGTGAGCAGCACCAGGGCATCTGCTCCAGCCCTGCCCACAGCTGGAGCTGTGCCACCTGCACGTGTTGTCCTGTGAAGTTCCTGCTGCCCAGGGCTGTATTTCCCGGGGTGGCTGCTGAGGCACAGCCCTGACCTGCCCCCTGGTTCTCCCCAGCGGACGGGCGCCATGGGATTGTCCGTGTGGACCGGGTGCCACTGGCAGCCAAGCTGGTGGATCTGCCCTGCATCATCGAGAGCTTAAAAACCATTGACAAGAAAACCTTCTACAAGACAGCAGATATTTGCCAGGTATGAGCTGTCCTTCTTGCCTGCACCAACAGCTTAATTCACTGCTCCCCCTCCAGGAAAACCCCTGTACATTTTGGCAACTGGACACCCATTATAACATACCCAATTCCTTTATCTCACAGTACTAGCAGTTTAAAATTCCCCATTCCACTTGGTTTTTAGAAACTTCATTCCTGAAATGTGAAATGTGATTGTCCTTGTGACAGCTTAACTGCTGCTGTATCCAGCTGAGCTGGGGGTGCAGCTGTGTTTCCCACACCCTGTGCCCCTGAATCCCCTTGGCTGACAATGTGCGGTGGGCAGTCACTGTTCCCTCACATGCCTGTGTTCATGTGGGGATTGCAGATGCTTGTTTGCACTGTGGATGGTGATCTGTACCCACCTTTGGAAGAGCAAACAGTGACCACTGACCCCAAGGCAAACAAGAAGAAGGACAAGGACAGAGAGAAGAAATTCATATGGAATCATGGCAGTGAGTAGAGGCTGTGCAAACCCCTCCACCCCAGTACCCCACAGCTGCCAGGTACTGGCGGTGCTGCTGCTCTGTTGCAGAAGGGATCTTCTCCCTTCTGAAGAGATGTGCTTCTCTCACTGGGCCATCTGCCTGACACATGAAATCTGTCTCCTCTGTCACAGTCACTCTGCCCCTGAAAAATGTCCGGAAGCGGCGATTCCGGAAGACAGCTAAGAAGAAGGTGAGTTGCTTCTCACCCAGATGAAATACCCAAGGGCTAGGAGGGCAGAGACATTAGAGCTGTAACTGTGATTGGTCCAGAAGTCATGTGTTTTCTAACATTTGTTCACTTTCCTTGCCTGAGCTGTGGGTTGAGGGTAGGATGGTAGATTTAAACACTACTTTGGGTGCTTTCTCTCTATTTTCCAAGATGCTCCTTAGGGGAAAGTCCTGTGTTCAGAGTACTGATGGACTTCATTCCTGTGGCTGCCTTGCCAAACCACATCTCTTCCTGCTCATAGAGAAGAAAGGAAGAAAGACTCACATGGAAATGAGGCTTCACTCATTCCTGCTTTCCCAGCTTAAATCTTCTCTTTATGCATGGCCCATTCCCTTCCCCAAATAGTACCACTGTCACTTCTGCTGGGGGAGTGACAACAGATGGAGCTCAGAGACTGTCTCTGTGCATATGCACAAGCCAGGCAAGGTGTTGGGGAGATGCAGCACCCTGAGGCTGGGAAGACTTGTTCTTCTCTCCTTTGCAGTTTCTGAGAACAGGGTTGAGTGTGATTTTGCATGACATTTGGGAAGCAAATTACTTGAGACATTCTTGTAGCCCACAGGAGAGATTTGGTATCACTGCAGTAAAATTCCTGACTAATTTAAAAGTGAAAAATGAAGTCTTTTTTTAAGTGGGATGGGAAGGATTTGAGTTCAGTTGAGTTCAGTTGAGTTGACCGTCAACACCTCAAGGACTTTCTGCATAGACACAGAAAGTCTTACAAAATACATAGTATAAACAGAAAAGTGAGAGCACTCAACCTACCAAGGTACAAAAAAGATGGATTGTTTTTTAGGGGGTGCATAAATTACTTCACAGTTAAATATGAGCAAATTCTGAGCAGAAAGCAGAAGATAAGAAAGCCTTGAACCAGTGCTCTATCCAGAGGTGGAGCCTTGTAGTTGGCCAGCACCAGCAGCACGCACAAGGCATTTAACAGTGTCTCTGTTCTCTTTCCCCTCTCTGGCCCAGTATATTGAGTCTCCTGATGTGGAAAAAGAGGTGAAGCGTCTCCTGAGCACCGATGCTGAGGCTGTCAGTGTCCGTATCCTTTTAGTGGGGAAAAAAAGCTCAGGAGGAGGACAAGGACATGTGTGTGACCTGGGGGTTCTGGAAGGAGCTTTGCATGGCTGTGGGACACTGGGACATGAACACACAAGAGGCACCGAAGTTTTGGAGCTTCATCTTTGCCTTGTTCAGAGTTAGTTGTTTCCTCAGGGTGACATGTCTTGTGGACTGTGCTGTTGTAGTGAGAAGGAACTGAAATAGTGGAGGAAAAGTCATTAGGAAAGTCATGGGATGTTTCATCCTGGGGATCCATAGGTACAAGGCCAGACTGGATGGAGTGGCAGTGATCTGCCATTTTTAGCCTCTTCCATCACAACTGCATCTTCCAAGTTCCTCTTTTTCCCTTGACTCACCTGTTCCTGCTTCAGGCTGGGAAGTCATTGCTGAAGACGAAACAAAAGAAGTGGACAACCATGGTTCACTCACCAGCCTGGACATCTCCTCCCCAGGGATGTCAGGGCATAAGCAAGGCCATGGCTCAGGTGCAGTGGGGAAGGCTGTTTTATTTCTAGGTGTGGTCCCTGGCAGGCAAAGAGCACTGGCAGGTCATCAGCTGTATTTTAACTTTTTTGCCCCCATCTAGAACATGATGAGCTGCGGGAGATATTTAATGACATCAGCAGCAGCAGCGAGGATGAAGATGAGAGGGATCATCATGATGATGAAGACCTGAACATCATGGACACTGAGGAAGACTTGGAGAGACAACTGCAGGACAAGCTGAATGAGTCTGATGGGCAGCAGCAGGAGAATGAGGGGTCCAACCAGATCGGTGAGTGGCCAGCAGAGCATGGCAGAATTGTTGGGATGCCGGGCAGGCTGTGCTTCCCAGCTCTGCTCTGCTCTGGGCCTGAGCTCGCTCTCCCTTCCAGCCATGGGCATCCAGAAACAGATTGACAACCTGAAAAGTAAACTCCAAGAAACTCAAGACAGGAGGAAGCGCCAGGAAGATCTCATCATGAAAGTGGAGAACCTTGCCCTCAAGGTGAGAGATCTCCTGGGGTCTCTTCAAACCTGCTTAACACTGGCTTGCCATTAGATCCAGCAGGCTGATTTGGAGAAGCCAGGAGCCTTTGCCTTCTGGGTTAAAAATAGTTGTGGTGTGGCCATACACACTCCAGCATTTCTCTGTGGAGGCAAAGTAATCTGTGAAACTGGAGGAGACAAGGGGGTGGTTGTCACTGCAGCATGTGACGTGTGGTAGCACCCATTCTGCTGAGAGCACACTGGTAGCTGTGGTCTCCATGTTTGTGTCTGCAGACCCGTCTCCAGGCCGTGCTGGATGAGTTCAAGCAGCAAGAAGAGAGAGAGAAGCAGCAGGTGAGGAAACTCCCACAGTGGAGTTGGAGGTACTGGGGCACAACACTGCTCTAGGCTTGGTGTGACAGAGTTCCCTGAGTCTTCTAGCACACAGCTGCTGTGAACTCCAGGTTACAGGTCAGGTGGGGGTGTATCTGTACCTCAGGTGGGTTTGTATCTGTAGTTGCACGGAGCTTCCCAAGGCAGAAGGAGATACAAGGAGTAGGGTTGACTGCAGCCCACCTTCTGGAGGAGGCAAACCATGTCCAGTCAGCAGTCCAGAGCTCTCAGGATTGCTGCTGGGGTAAAACACAACACACAAACCTGTTAGCACCCCTGTAGAAGGGGTGGCAGAAGGAAGGCAGTGGCTGTAGGGCTGTGGCAGATTTCCTGCCTGGGCAGCTCTGTTCCAGCCTGGTGCCAGGGCAGGAGGTTCTCACTCTCAGATCCCTGTGGGCAGTGCCAGTCCTGTCCCAGAGGAGCCCAAGCACAGCTCCAGGCAACACCCAGGGAGAGCAGCCACTGGTGTCGATAGAAGATGTGCAAGAACACAAAAATGCTGGGGCTGCCTGGGGTCCCAGAGGTGCCTTACTGTAACATCTCTCTCTCTTCCCAGATGGCATCCCTGCAGGAGCAGCTGGAGTCCCTCATGGAGAAGTGAGCAGTGGGCCTGGGTCTGTGAGCAGAGCTGGAAGTGGCGGTCACCTGCCACACTGAAGTCCTTGCTTTAGTCACACACTTCTGCTGCCACGTGCTGCTGGGCAGTGGTACAGGGTCCATGTCCAGAGCTGATTTCACATCCACTGTGCTGGGTTTGGCTGCTGGAGCTAAAGAATTGGACTATGCCTGTGAGAGCAGCCAAAACAACAGATTTACTGTCAGTAGTCAGCACTGGCCTCCCAGGACAGCATGGTGCTGGTTTCTGCATCCTAATGAGTCTTGGGATTGATGGGCTGTGGCCTGGTAAGAGTTTGTTCTTGCGTTTGACGAGTGCTTATATCTGCAAACCAAACTCAATAAAGTTTCCTTTTCAACGCTGGTCTGCTCCTTTGTGGTCTCCCAACCACACAGTCCCTGGCAGGGAGCCGTGCCTGGGCACCTTTGGTGGGGCACTGCTGGGCTCCTTCCCAAAGTGCTCTTCGTGGGGCTGGGTCAAAAGTGCTGGCACTCAGTGGGAGGAATGAGGCCCTCCTGATCAGGGGGTTCCTGTAATTCCTCACAGACTATGCAGGCAAATCCCAGATTAACCTGACAGGGTGGGAAGAGGATTAGAAGGGCGGTTACAGAAAGCAACAGAGGACACCGGGGGCTTCAGCAAGTGTGTGCTAGGAGGGGACAGCCCTCTCACAACCCAAGGGCAGGGGAAGAAGGCTCTGCCCCCAGCACAGAAAGGAAAAGGTCAGCAGGAGCCCTGGAAAATGTGTATGTCCAGATAATCCAGAAAGAGACACCTAAGGAAGACGTGGAGCTCTAGAAGGGCCAGAGTGCGATCTGTGAGCAGCCATGGAAGAAACCTACCTGCTGAATGTGGAAGGGGTCAGAAAGAAGATTCTGCATGGAGGCCAAGGGGAACTGCCGAAGCTGCAGGATGGGAGCAAGGTAAATGGTCTGGGTTGTTCCTCCAGAGCCCTGGGAGAGGGAGTGGGTCTGACATCCCTGCCCATTATGGTTCACCAGCCCAGCTCCAGGTCTGGGAAGACTGAGAGCCCTTACAGCAGGGATGCAGGAGGGGCTGGTTTGGGCACAGGCAGCCAAATTCCTCACAGTGACAGCTGGCAGTGCCCACGGCCTCACCTTTCACTGGGCCTGGGACACCCCCTCCCCCTGGCACCCTTAGAGCTCAGCAGCCTCGGTGGGCTGCTGAAACCTGCCTTTCCTGCTGTGTGCCAAGCAGGGCTGAGATGTGCCAATGGGTTGTTCCTGGGGGATTCCCCAGCCTCTGATCACTGGGGGTTCCACCAGGCCCTGGAGCATACTGTGAGAGCTCTCTCTGCACGGGGCCATAAAGCGGACCCAAAGGGAGAAGGGAGCTACAGCATGGATGGATGTTGGGACATTCCACCATCTGCTTGCTGTCTCAAGTGGGCAAGAGGCACAATCTCCTGCTGTGGAGGGAGAGCTGCCAGTCAGACCAGCACAGTGCTGGGAGCAGGCTTGACCCCACAGCTGAAGTCATGGTGGCTGCCAAGGGGGTCTCACCACTGGGCCCTCTCTGGGCCAGTTCACCTTCCACTTCCAGACGCTGAAGGATGACTTTGAGCGGACGGTGATCGATGACAGCCGGGAAGCCGGCATGCCCATGGAGATCATCGTGGGCAAGATGTTCAAGCTGGAGATCTGGGAGACGCTGCTCAGCTCCATGAGGATTGGGGAGGTGGCAGAGTTCTGGTGCGACGCCATTGTGAGTGAGGGGCCCAGAGATGCCCACTTCCCTTCTTCCTGCAGAGCCAGGACACAGAGCCACGCATCCCAGCGATGCTCTGGCCTTGTCTGGTGCAAACACAGCCTGTCACTTGGCCTCAGCACCGGGGGGCTGCCCCAGACAAGGGGGTGCAGCTCCCCAGGGCTGAGCAGGGTGCTCCCTCCTTGCAGCACACAGGCATGTACGCCCTGGTGTCCAGGGGCATGCGGAGGATTGCGGAGGGCCGGGACCCCCTGGAAGGGCAGAAGCACCGCTGTGGCATGGGCAACATGTTTGACTACCACAGCACGGGCTACGAGGACCTGGACGAGCTGCAGCGGACGCCACAGCCTCTCATCTTCATCATGGAGCTGTTCCGGGTAAGGGGATGCTGGGGATGGCTGCCAGAGCGGGAACAGCCGGGACAGCCACTCAGCTCCTCCTGCTTGGGCAGGTGGAGGACCCCTCAGCATACAAACGTGACACCTGGGCCATGAGCAAGGAGGAGAAGCTGGCAGCAGTGCCCGTGCTGCACAGCGAGGGCAACCGCCTGGTGCTGCGCAGGGAGTTCGCACAGGCGGCCGCCAAGTACCAGGAGGCTGTCATCTGCCTCAGGAACCTCCAGGCCAAGGTGAGCAGCACCAACACCTCCCCATCCCTGCCTGGGCCACACCTCAAAGCCCTTCCCTGTGTGCCTTGGTGCCTGGGAGGGGATGGACACAGCCGTGAGCTGCCCTGGGTTGCTCGGGGGGCAGGAGAAGCCGTGGGAGGATGGCTGGCTGAAGCTGGAGAGCCTGGTCACGCCGCTGGTGCTCAACTACTGCCAGTGCCAGCTGGAGCTCGGCGAGTACTACGAGGTGCTGGAGCACACCACGGAGCTTCTCCAGAAGCACAATGGTACCTGTGCCCTGCATCCCACCCCTGCTGTGCCCATGGCTCCCGGGGACTCCATCCTCTGAATCCCCCACCCTGACAATGCTCATCCTGCATCCCTCTGCCTGTGATAGTGCCTGTGTCATCTGGATCCCTGTGTCCCAGTTTGCCCCCACCCACCAGCATCCTTCCCCTTCCCATGATGATCCCTGCGCTCCCTGTGCCCTGCTGCCCGCAGTGGCAGGGCACAGCCCAGCTGTCCCTGCCCTCCCTACAGGTGTGTCCACCCCACACGTGCTTGACGTCCCCTGGTCCCCAGGTCTCCAGCTCCTGTGGCTGGTGGCCCTGAGCTGCAGGACACCCACTGAGGGCTCTCCTCTCCTGGCAGACAATGCCAAGGCCTATTTCAAGCGGGCAAAGGCCCACGCTGCTGTCTGGAATGAGAGGGAGGCACGGGAGGACTTCCAGCGCGTGGCTCACCTCGACCCCTCCATGGCGGCCGCGGTGAAGAAGGAGCTGAAGCAGCTGGGGGAGAGGATGAGGAAGAAGCATGTGGAGGATCGGAAGCGCTACCAGGGCCTCTTCCAATCATCCCAGGGTGTGAAGGCCCGTGAGGGGCAGGAGAGCAGGGAGGTGGGCGATGGGGCACCTCAGGGGGAGACCGGGGTCCGGGAGAGCCCTGGGCAGGGGGAGCAGGGTGCTGAGACCAGAGCCACAGAACAGTCCAGGGCTCCCCAGGCAGAACAAGGGACCCCCAGGGCTGGGGGTGAAGGGGAAGCATCAGGAGAAGAAGTCCGGGGAGAGCCTGTGGGAGAAGAGGTGGAAAGGAGGGATCACATAGCAGTGGGGAAAGAAGAAAACCTGGACACCTGTGGGGCAAAGCCAGAGAGCCTGGGAACAGAGGAGGAAGATGAGAAAGAGGAGGGGGAAGAGGAGAAGAAAGAGGAAGAAAAAGAGGAGAGCAAAGAGGTAAAGGTAGAGAGGGTTGCAGAGGAAGAAGATGGAAAATTTGAGGAGGAGAAGGAGGAGGCAGACAAGGAAGAAAAGGAAGACAAAGTGGAGGGGGAAGAGAAGGTGGAGAGGAGAGCAGAGAAAAAAGATGAGAAATTAAAAGAGGGTGAAGAAGTAGAGAAGGAAGAAGAAAACAAAGAAAAAGAGAGGGAGGAGGAGGCAGTAGTGAAAGGAAAAGAGGAGAAGGACAAAGAGAAGGAGTGTCTACCAGCAAAAATGGAACAGCCTGAAGCAGGGCAATGTGGGACAACAGGGGAGACAAAGGCAGCTGGGCTACTGCAGGGCTTGGAGCAAGGAGCCAGCAGAGCAGAGGGAGCTGGCACAGGCAGCGAGGCCCAGGCTCAGCCAAAGAGAGCCCCACATCTGGGGCCTCCCAGCGAGGGGACCCCAGGGCTGGAGGATAAAACAGCTCGAGAGGCTCTGGGAGAGGTGAGCGGCAGGGAGCAGGGAGCAGGCAGGGGACAAGAAAAAGCTGGGGAAGGCAACATCCCCCCAGAGAGTTTCACCCCTGGGGAAGGTAAGGAGCTGGGTGGAGGGGCAGAAATACCCCCGTGCCCCATAGCAGCCAGAGAAGGGGGTGCTGCACCCCTGGAGCAGTGCAGCAAGGAGCAGGGCAGTGACCAGCCCTGAGCAGGGTCAGCTCCCCTGCCTGGGGTACAGCTGCCAGGCCACTGCCAAAGAGGCACAGCACAGGCAGCAGGGCTCCTGTACCCGGAGAGGAGCCCCGGGGCTGGGGACTGGCCCAGCAGTGACACGGGAACAACGCTGTCCTCACCCTGCCACCGCCGGGCACACCCCTGCCCGACTCAGCGGCTCCAGCGCCTTTCAGCTGGGTGCCACCGAGCTCTGCTGGCTGAGAAATAAAAGCTCTTCCCTGGCACCGTGGGCTGGATTTGTTCCTGAGCGTGACCAGCTTCCCTGAGGACATCCCACAGCTCCTGCCTTGCCCTGAGCCCGTGGCACACGGATGGGGCAGTCTGGGGCTGCTTGCAGAGGGGTGGTCAAGGAGGCTGCATTTCACCCCCCTTAAGCTCCTGAATCTCTCCTGTGTGAGTGTCCCCCACCCTGCCCTGCAGTGGCACCGTGTCAGGCCTTTCCCAGCGCTGCCAGCCCTGCCAGGCAGGGTGAGAGCAGGTCCAGCCCAAAAACTGTCTGTCCTGGGCAGGCTTCACCATCAGCCAAGTCTGGGCAGGGGACAGAGCCCAAGAGCCCCTGGCCTTGCCCTGAACTATTCCTCTCTGAATCCCTTACTGTGCCACAAAGGCACAGCAAACACGGGCAGCACTTGGGGCTGGGGCACCCAGACACCTCTGGGCACTGAAAACTTCATGGAGCTCCAGAGAGGAAGGAGGGAGAGGACTGCCTTGCCCACCCAGCACCCCACTGCTGTCTGCCTCCTGCCTGGGGCTGAAGGGTTTTCCACAGCCAAAGTTCCTGGGGGAATGAGGAACTGTCCCCACACAGCCCCTGTCCCACCCCTCAGCAGCCACATGGCCTGGACAGACCTTGTTGGAAGAGGATGAGGATGGTGGCTGGGGGACGTGCCTGTGTCTGGGGATCCTGGGGCTCTGCTCACAGCTTCGGCTCTGCCTCAAGTGGTGTGGACAGCCAGAGTGACAGTGCAGGCTGTCCCCAGTGCAGGAGCAGTGCCAGCATGGCACAGCCACGGGGGCTGGCTCAGCCGAGACACGCGGATAGAAGAGGCCAGAGCACCGATCCAGGAGTCAGTATAAATACAAATTTATTCTCTTTCCAGAGCAGAGATGCCACAAAGCAGTGAGGACAGCAGCACCAGAGTACATGGTTACCAGAGCATTAGCCAGCCTGCTCCCCTCCCTCACACATCCTGGCTTCCAAACACAGCCCAAGCACCCAACCTGGCCACCTCTGCTCCCCACACCTGCCACTGGGGCCAGCAGCTCTGGGCCCACAGAATCCTGCCCTTTTCCTTCCTCCAGTGCCCCCCAAGGCTGGATACTCCTGACCACACCCTCAGGCCACGCCTCACCCTGCTGCTCCCCACGCTGCTCCCACCCTGCCCCTGGGAGAGCAGAGGGGGCCAGCTGGGTCTCACAGGCTGGCCCGGGGTCACTGTCACCCACAGCCTGACACAGCATGCCCACAGCCACCCTAATGCCACCACACTGCCCTCCTGCCACTCACCTGGCCGGCAGAGGGGACAGCAAGGACAGCCACCCACGCTGCTGCCAGCAGGCGCTGGAGCACTACACGCTGAACAGCCCTGGCTGTAAGGCTCACTCCGCCTTGTCCCTGGTGCGGCCACTGCTCCTCACCCCTGCCAGCAGCCCAGAGCCAAGCCACAGTCCTGCTCACAACCTCCCGGACACTTCAGCACCGTGTCCCGTCCCAGGCAGCACCAGCAGCCTGGTTCTGTCCTTGCAAGCCCCGTTAACCGGGGTATTTCCCCCCGAGGGCTCAGGCCTCTCTCTCCTCGTTTCCCCCTGGTGCCCTGCCCCGAGGGCTCAGGCCTCTCTCTCCTCCCCACAGCCTGTGGCTCCAGAGCAGCAGGCCCATGGCGGCCCCGGCTCTGGGTCACCCTGCAGCACCTGACTCTGCCTCTCTCGACATAACACAGCCCAAGACAGCCAGCCCGAGGGACCCCTGGGCACAGGAGCCACCACCCCCGGACTGCCCTGGCAGCTGGCAGAGAGCCTCCCAGCTCTGCCCCGCTCCCAGGGACGGCCTCCAGCCTCAGCCCAGCCCCGAGCTGGGACAGCAGTGGGGCAGCTGCTCCTGGGGACAGCCAGCAGGTGCCCTGCCTGTCCTGCTGCCACCCACGCTGCCAGGCACTTGCATCGCACCAAGGTGGCCTCAGGGCTGGAGAAACCCTCCCTGCAGGGGCTGAGGCTCCCCAGGCACGGAGCTGGCTCTGTGCAGGACTCTGCCATGGCAAAGGCACAGATCCCCAGGAAACCAGGCAGGGTGAAGGACCTGCTGTGGGTCCAGCCCTCAGTGAGCTCCCTCACAGCAGCCCTGCAAGGCAACACCAGCAGCAGGGAAGGTGCTGCTTCCCCTGGGCTGGTCTGAAAGTGAAGGGCAGCTACACTTAAGGTATTAGAGTTTAATAGAGTGAGTCCATGAGAGTATTTAAGTACAGTATATATATATATATAATATATAGAAATATATGCAAATTAAACAATAAGGCTCTGTTATAAAGACCCTCTCAATATAAGGCTACTAGCTGGGCTGAAGCTCTAACATGGACTCAATCCCTACTCCATAAACCTCACAGACTCTCTCCTGGTGGTATGTGCCTGGCTGGCTGCAGAGCCTGGGGTGGCAGAGTTCAGACATAAGGCTGGCAGCTGGTCACTGTTATAAAGAGTTATTTTAAAAATTGTGTGGCTCCAGGAGTGTTTTGGTGCCCATAGACCTGGAGGCTCGTGGGCACAGATGAAGAGTGGGATGCTGAGCTCTGCATCCCCCGAGGGCTACAGGCAAAGGCAGCAGCCCCTGGGTGCCAGGGGAGACTGGCAGTTTTCATGGCTTCAGTTCTTTCTTCTCAACCATCCCACCCAGGCTTGGACACTGTGGTCAGTGACCAAACCAGCCTCCTGGGGAGCCCACAGTCCCACTCCTGCATGACCTATGTTCCCCTGAGATCTTCTGGAGCTGGCAAGCATCCTGCACCACCAGCTCTGAGGGAGTCTGTGTGAGGTCTGCTGCAGCACAGGGAGCATGGCAGGGAGAGAGGGGGAGGAAAGCAGCCAGGTAGCTGGTTAGGAAAAGCCTCTGGCTCACAGGAGGTGTTAGATAAGGGAGGTCATACCTGAAAGAGAAATAGACAGGTCAGGAAAACAGGACCCAGAGCCACCTGGTTAGAAGGGGGCTGCTGCAGAGCCAGGAGGATCCTGCTCAGGGATGGCAGAAAGTGGGCAAGAGTCTGCATGGGCAGATCACCACCTCTTGTTAGTGCTGGCACCAAGCAATGTCTCCCTCTGGCAGCCTGGGCAAGAGACCAAGTGCTGCCCCTGCACTGAGCACAGAGGGAAGGAGCAGAATGACCAACACCAAAACCCACTGAGTGAGTGGAGTGCCATCCACACACACAACCCCTCCATCCCTGCTGGGAAGAGCTGTCCACGAGCAGCCAGGAGAGCCTGCACCATTGCTTCCATCTCACCAGGCCTCTGGGGCCACGACCTCTCCTGCAGAGGGGTCTGGACAGGGATGAAGGCAGGAGGGGCCCAAAGCTCGCTGCAGGTGGTGCTGGCAGGTCTGTCCATCCTCAAGGTGGGAGCCCCGTGGGGTGCAGGTCCTGAGCAGGGCAGAGGCTGCCTTGCAGCTCATCACAGGGATCTGTTTGGTCTGTGCTCTTGCCAGCTCTGATGGCCTCTCCTTGCAGGTGTGAAGCCTCCTCCTCCTCCTCAGCTCCCAGGCCACACACCCGTCCCAGCAGCACTGCAGCAGCAAAGCTCTTGGCTGAAGCACTGCAGGTCATCAGCTGTTGCAGGGAAGCTGGGATTGGGGCAGGGCTCTGTGGGGAAAGCCTCACCTGAGGGAGCAGTAAGGAGAGAGAGAGGAGGTTTCACTCAAGTACCTCGGGAGCTGGGGAAGGCGCTCCGCAGCTTCTCCATTATGTCTTCCAGGCACATGCTGACTTCCTGGGTTTTGGCTTCCACCTCATCTGCAGAGGCAAGGAGGGCAGGTGGGTAGGAAAAGGCTCTCTGGACATCCACCTGGCTGCCAGCATCTCTGCAGGATGGCAGGGTGCAGGCAGCTTCCTGCAGCATGGGAACAAGGGAGCAGGGCCAGGAGCTCAGCCCCAGCGCAAAGCTCACCTGCAGTTTCAGTGTCAGGGGTGTTGTGCTCTTTCTCCTTTGCCTGGCTGCCTTCTGACTGATGTGGAGATGAAGCCAAGGAGGAGGCTGCTGAACCATTGCCTTCTGACTCTGCTGGAGGCTGGAATGAGAAGAGTTGTTGTGAGAAGGTTGTCATGACCCTCTGTCCCTGGCTTCCCCTCCTCTGCCCATCCCTTTGTGCCTCTGTCCCAGCTCTGCTGTGGCAAAGCCCACCCCAGCCTTGCTCTGAGCATACCTGCAGCAGCAGCTCCCTCAGCCTGTGCAGCTGTGACTCCAGCTGCTTGTTATGGTCCTCCAGGATCTGCATCCGTGTCTCCAGGCGGCTCTTGTGCTGCCGGAGGATCCGTGCTTCTGCCAGCAGCTCCTCATTACGTGGGTCTTGCACTGATTCAGGAGAGCCTGTGGCCAAGCTTGGAGACTCCACTGCCTCGTCATGCTGCCATTTCAAACGTCTCAGCTCTCCCTGGAGGATCCTGCAGGACAGCCCAGGTCAGCATCCCCTCCATCCTGCCTAGAGGCTGTTAGAAACCCCCAGGAGCTGCACACTGCGGGTGGCCCACGACTCAGACAATACTTTGCCATTTGTGAAGCCTAAGGGCCAGGATGCTGCACTGCAGAGTGGCCTGTCTGTGGTTCTGCCCCACCCAGGGGATTCAAAGATATCCAACCACTTTCCAAGAGGCTGAAAACAAGGGCAGGGAAAGCATCACCTCCTCCTGAGCTGGTGTGCCCTGCCTAGAGCCTCACCCTGGTCCACAGCAGCAATACCACTGTTCATGAGGGGCTCAGGGACAAGAAAGACAGAGTGCCCTGGGCCCCCTTTAACTCATTTGGAGTTCAGGAGGGAGCAGGCTCTGTGGATGTAGGAAGGAATGTTTTGGGGAACAGAGTCTTCTCCCTTCCTTGAGAGCAGACTCTCACTGAGTTTTAGTGCTCAGCTTAGCCACCCTGCAAAACTGCCCTCTCAGCATCTGCAATCCCCACGTCCAGACCCAGCAGCATCCCCTGCCTCCACTCTGAGCTCTACAAGGCTTCTCCAGTCCCTTCCCCTGTCTCAGTCTACAACCCCCACCTTCAGGCTGCCCATGTCTCTACCTGTTTTCATCCTCTAAGTGGGCCAGGACTCTCTCCAGCTCTCCCTTGTCATCCATGTTGAGGCCTCCTGGACCCTGCTGGCTGCCCCCGGGCTCTCTGTCCGTGATGGGGCTGGAATGGCGCAGCAGGTACTGGTCCTCATCCCTGTTCCAGCAGGTGGAGAAACACCTTCATTAGGAAAATCACTGGATTTGTGTGCCCTTGGGGAAGGACATCATGGAGGGAGGCAGTTTCACAGGGAAGCTCCTGGCTGCTCCAGGCCTAGAGCTCAGAAGGGGCTCAGCATCCCTGATTGTTTTTGGGGGTGCCCAAGAGCCTCTCACTCAATGGGAGTGGGAAGGAAAGCATTTCTGTACCCTGGCTATGCATGGATAGAGCCACAGGAGCCCTGACCCATCAGGAGGCGAGGAGAAGGGAAAGGAGAACTCACAGGCTGTCATCAGGGGACAGGCTATCACTGAAGAAGGAACAGTTCTGGCTTTCCATCTCTGCAAGCCTGGAGGGAAGAGAAAAAGGTTGGGATATGGTCAGAGACACCCTAAATGTTTGCTCAGCTACTTGCAGCAGGCCCTGCAAGACCCCTCTCTGCAGGGTCTCCCACCTGGCCTGCACCAATCTGTCCTGCACAGGCCCTAGAGAATTTTGCCTTTTTAAAAACCAAAATACACTGCTGCCCTGGGTATAAATCTCTAGAACAAAGAGCTGCTGCTGTGCAGTTGGCTCAGCCTCCTCTCTCACAAGCAAAGGAAAAGGATGTAAGAATTCCAAGCTCTAGCCTAGGACCTGAGCTACAAGTACAGGCTCCCTGCACCCCCTGGGTCCCCACAGCCAGGGCAGAGGCACCACAAACCCCAAGGCAGCAGCAGTGGGAATCTGGCAAAGAGCTCTGGTGAGGACACAGAGCAGAACACCGAGGGATGTGCCTGCTGAGAAGCCATCCAGCAGCTCATCCTGGGAAGAGCAGGACAGCACATGGAGGCTGCTGCATTGGTGAGACATCTGCTGCCAAATGCATGGTCTTTGCTGCCAATTTACACAGCACCACCACGTCCCAGGCAGGTTTTCCTGGCTGTGCAGAGTGCTGGGGCAGGTGGAGGGGTCTGTGACCATCTGTGTGCCCCAAAGCCCGCCCACACCCAGCAGGGTCATGCTCTGTGCTCCAGCAGGATCAGCGGAGCCCATGGGGGTACCTGCTGGCAAAGTGCTCGATCCTGGAGTGTGTGTCAGCGTGTGGTAACATCGGGGACGAGGCTGGGCTGCAAGAGATGCACACTGGTCAGCAGGCTGGGCACAGACTGATCCCACCTGGCTGAGAAGAGCCAGAGAGGGGCTGGACAGAGAGACTGAAATCTCTGTTCCTTCAAGAACAAGGTGGCATATCACCCCCAGAGCAAGTGCTCCTCCAGCCCTCCCCCAGGAGCCCTGCATGAGCTGAGATGCTCTTTCCATCCACAGAACTCATGTCTCATTCTGGGCCCAAAGACATAAGCCAGGGCCCAGGCAACTCACGTCTCAGAGAAGTCAGCCTCGAGCACGGACTGGACGGGCAGGTAACCTCTCTGTGGGTGCTTGCTGAAGTACTGCTTGGACCGGAACTTGTTCTTCAGTGTCGTGGCAAAGTCTCTCATGTTCTCACTGGATGTGGTCTGCAGAGACACAAATGGGACACAGGTGCCTGTTTAGTGAAAAGTGGGGGACCACAGCTCAGCACCCTCAATAATATATCCCCTCAGGCTGGGCATGAGCTCCATGGGGGAAGAGGCAGATAAAACTGAGGAAGCAAGGAGGGCACACAGCAGCTCTGTGAGCCTGCCATGGGGCCTGGCACAGGCCAAGCTGGGCACTGGGGCCATGCATCCTGCTCACCACGAGCCCCAGAACAGCAGGGACACAGGCAGCCTCCAGCATGCACAGGGTACAAAACTACACAAGGGATCCACTTGTGGGACTGCACCAGCCTAAATATCACAAGGCTGCTGCCATCAGTGGGCCCTGCTCTGCACCAGGGCCCTCCCAGCCCAGCCCAGCCCTGTACCGGGGTGTAGTACTCCATGATGGGGTAGTGCAGCTTGTTGCCCTTGCTGGCTCGCCCCGTGAGGAAGCAGGTCTGGCAGATATCCACATTGAACTGCTTCAGGCTGCGATACCTGGGGAGGTCAAGAAGCCATAGGGAAGCAGTGGAAGTCATCAAAACACGTGTTTAAAGCCCAAGAAGAGGTCAGTGGGAGGGGACAGAGGTGGCCTGTGTTGCTCTAACACCCCAGTGAACCCACAGGGCTGATGGCTGCACTCCCCAGGAAAGCATTCTGCTCCTTCCCCTTGGCTGGCACCTGCTCTGCCCTGCCAGGAACACTGCTGGCTGCAGAGCTCCAGGCTCGCCCAAGAGCACAGAGCAACTCAGCTCTGTCCTGCAGGACAGCACACTCTCCCTCCCTTGGGGCCAGGGTCCCGTATCACAGCCCTTACCTGAAGCCCTTGATGGGGCACTGCCGGCACACGGAGCACTTGGTCTGGTGCTTCACCTGCTCGGCCATGGTCACCCGGTGCAGCACCGCCAGCCACACCATGGACTGCGGCTCCAGGTTGGCCCACTCCAGGAACTGGGACGCCTCAATGGCAGACTTCCCATTACTCTGGGGGGGACAGGAGGGGGCTGCTCAGAGCTGGGACCTGGCTGCCAGGGGGAGCAGCTCCCCTGCCACCTGGGGAGCCTGTTCCCAGCACAGACGGGCCGAGGGCCGTGGCCCCGCACTCACAAAGCGGAAGCAGCTGCGGATGCTGGGCTCCACGTTGCTGCCCCCAAACGCTGCCACCTCCCCCAGCTGGCGAGGGACCTGGATGGCCTCGTGGAGCAGGACGCCCAGGTGCCGCTGGTCACACAGGCCCCCGGCATTGGCCACTTGGCTGAAGAGATCTGCGGGCACACAGACACAGCTGACAGCCCAGCAGTGGGCAGGCACAGGGAGCAGGGTGTGGGGACACCAGGGACCCCAGTGCCCACCCCCTAATACAGACACACAGCTGACAGCCCAGCAGTGGGCAGGCACGGGGAGCAGGGTGTGGGGACACCAGAGACCCCACTGCCCACCCCCTAATACAGACACACAACTGACAGCCCAGCAATAGGCAGGCACGGGGAGCAGGGTGTGGGGACACCAGGGACCCCACTGCCCACCCCCAGCACAGAGCTCAAATACGAGGAAAAATCTGACCTATGATTAAATTACTTTTACCAATGTCCTTCCAGCTCCTAATAACCAGTTTAGTGTCTTCTTTGGACAGAGGTTCCATACATCATTTATTAAACAACACCAGCTAGCCTGTCCTCTACGAATCAGCCTAATCCCTTCATTTAACCCCTTGGTGCTGCCTATGCTACACAAGATTCCCCTCCACAATATTCCACAGTTAAAATGCAGTGAGGAAAGCAAATTGCCTGAAACCTACTTCCCCCAGCTATACACCCCCTGGTATTTTCCTTCTGGAAAGCACTGGATAACTTTCCTGTGTGCCTTCTCTGCACTGTTCCTTACAGTGCCATGCAAGCAAGATCACTGCAGCACCAGTCACTCTGCAAAAACACCTCCTAATTTTGGTGGCGTAGGCCTGGGGAGGGAGGGAGAGGTGATGATGCAAGCAGCTTAGTCACTGCAGGAAAGCTGTTTCTTTGCTCTTCCCGTGCAAAGAAGGTCTAAGCCAGGAAACAAAACCACTCCTGTTTTCCCAAGGTGAATTCACACGAGGTTCTAGGGGAGGCAGACAAGGGACTCACACTGGAACTTCTCCTTGACCTCTGTCCCGCACAGACATGCAATGCCCGTCTTGAAGGAGAGAGCCCTCATCTTCCCGCTGCGGCCACTGCAGGACAAGATATTGCACAGGTCTACAAATGCTCCAGAGTGGGTTTTTCTTGGCAGGGGGGTCATCAAGGCAAGCACACAGCAGGCAGCCTCCCTCACTGGCAGCCACAACCTTTGTGCAGCACTGCCAGCTGGAAGAGCAGCACAAGGGTATTGTACTTGCAGGGACCCTCGTGGCAGGGAGGAATGAATCTGACTCCATGTTCTCAGAAGGCTAATTTATTATTTTATGATACTATGTTGTATTAAAGAATACTATACTAAACTAGACTAAAGAATACAGAAAGGATACTTACTCAGTGCTAAAAAGATAATAATGAAAACTTATGACTCTGGAGAGAGTCCCAACACAGCCTGGCACTGATTGGCCAATGAGTGAGAACAACTCACACCAGAAACCAATGAAACAATCACCTGTGGGTAAACAATCTCCAACCACATTCCAAAGGAGCAAAACACAGGAGAAGTAAATCAGATAATAATTGTTTTCCTTTTCTCTGAGGCTTCTCAGCTTCCCAGGAGAAAAATCCTGGGCAAAGGGATTTTTCAGAGAATGTGAATGCCACATGGCCTGGCAGCCCCACAGCTCAGAGGACACTGAGAGAGGTACCTGTCAAAGACGTTCAGCAGCCAGTTGAGGCTCATGTCCACGCAGAGGGGCACGTTGACCAGGATGCCCCTCTCCTCCTCCAGCCGCTCGTAGAGGGCGGTCAGGCAGTGGATCACCTCCACCACGTCCATCGCCCGGTCGCCGGGCTGCAGGTCGTGCTCATTGAAGATTTCCAAAGCTGTGCCCAAGGTGACCATGTCCACTGCACAGAAAGCACAGGGGGAACAGAGGGGAAATGAGAGAGGTGAGAAGCAAGAGGAGGGAGTTGCTGTCCTGCCCTAACCTGGGGCAGTGTTAGTCCCACTGTGTTGGGAAAGATGCTGGAAAGGATGGGTGCAACTGCTAGAATTTCTCTCCTGCCTGTAAACTTCTCCCAAAATACCACATCTCCACCTTGAGCCACCATTCTCTGTGACCTTCCTCCCTCATTTCTGTGTCCAGCCATGACCATGAAAATGCCCCCCATGGAGGGCAATGCGCAGAGCCCAGTGCTGGCCTCTCTGCATGGACCAGGTCCCTGTGGGGCTGCTGTGGGGAGGTGAGGGGGCACAGACCCACACAGACCCTACAAGCAGCTGCCCAGAGATGGATCAGTCCTGTCTCCAGCTCTGACAGGGTGAGGGAATTAAGGCACAAACCCAAAACAGGGCTAGGACAGTGTGAGCCACCCGGCTTTCAGACTTCTATGGCTGCAGGTTGTACGTGCTACTGTGTTAGCAAGCAGCAATATTTCTTTCCTGAAAGTCTTTCCATCTTTGAGACCTTTAATATTCACAGTACCCAGGGGACTGTGTGCCTTTTCCACACTGTAGCTTCACTCTGTGGATAAATCCTCCCTTCTCCTGTCAAAGCTGCTACACTTGCACTGGGAAGCCCCAGTTTCCGTGCCAGGGAGTATCACTCCTGCCCACCCTCGTGTCCACACTGCCCACGACTGCATATGGCCCTGATCTATCCCTCACTGCCTCTTTCCCACACAGCCACTCTACCAAACTTCTCATGATGGGAAAGCTGCCTTGGCAACCTCCTTGCCCTTTCCTCAAGTATATCTTGAATAAAGAGCACTTATCCAAGTAATTTCTGGAGTGGAAAGAAGGCGACGGTGCAGCATGTGAGGTGCAAGAGATGCACAAGCAGCACACAGGAGAGTTCTCCTTTCTTCTTCACCCTTGTTTCCTCTCCACACCTTGCCTGCTGCTGCATGGACACCTTAACAGGGTGGCAAAAGCTTTCTTCCATTTGCTTTACATCCTCCCTGAATGTCCCTGGGACAGGGCAGCCTGATCACCACAGTGGTATGAAAATACTCCACAGCCAGGGTTTGACTCCCTCGAGAACCCAAACTCCTCTTACCCTGACTCATTGCCTCCTTCCAGCCCTTTCACAGGATGTCAAGGAGCACAGCTCTGCCTGGGCCCCACTGCTGCTCCCCTTCATGAACAATTATTTCAGGAGGAGGATTTCCCTCATCCTGCTGCTGCTTAATTTTGACAGAGCCTTAGGTGAGAGGCTTTGTCAAAAGCTCTGAGCAGCCAAGGATGCTGCATCTATCAGATTCCCACCTGTCTGCTTGCCAGTTCCACCAGAAACTCCTCAGCAGTCTCCAGGGAGCAGCTACCTCTTGGAGAGATGTTTGAACTCCTGTTGTATCATATTCACCTGGCTATGAATCCTCCAGCTTTCACCAAGAGTGCAGAAGTTAGGTTTATTGGCTCCCTTCCTCCTCTTTAAGCAGTGCAGCCCTCTCTGTCCCTGACAGTGAGTCTGGTTTCATCTCTCAGTTACATCCACACCTCCTCCATGCTCCTTTGGAGCTGCTTGGTGAGTTCCTGCCTGATGCCACAGCTTTGTACCCCTGAGCTGGACCACTTTGTTCTCACATCCCTTTGGACAACACCTGCCCTTGGGTCACCTCCACCCCAAGCTGTAAGAAAGGCGCTGACACAGAGCTCAGCTTCCCAGGCTGATCTTCCTGGTTTCTCGCCTCAGCTACCTATCCCCTGGTGCCTGCTGCCTTTGATGTGCTGATAAAAGCTTGTGTTAGTTTAAGCCTCCACTGAGGGGGAGCCAGCAGGAGGGAAGCTCTTGCCACACTCACATCGAAGGGCTTTTTGCACCCGCCGCAGCTTCATGGCCGTCCGGTACGCCGAGAACTTGATGTTGTTCAAATCCGCTGCAGGGACACAGGAAAACAAGAATAAAACCACAGCACAACTTCCTTATCTCCAGGGCAGGAAGCAGCAGTTGCAGCTCTCAGACCCCAGCAGAGCACGTGCAGGACAGTGAGGAGCAGAGCCTGGCAGGGGTCACACCCCACTGCTTTGGGGGACCCTGCAGCACAGAGGGGAGCAGGTGGCCTGGGGGAATCTCACAGGCACCCAAAAAGGCAAGTACTGCTCCAGTGGTTCTGTGACAGCCTCCTTACCCAGCGTCTGGTACAACTCTGTCATCTTTGGGTGGTCCCAGCACGTCGTCTGGGCCTGGTGGCTGGAAGCAAAATAGATGGAGACCAAGAGTCAATGTGGTAACCAAAAGCTGCAGTGAGAGATTAAAAAAAGGACCTGGCCAGCGTTGGGAGCAAGTGTTTCAGTGTCTGCAGACACTGCTGCATCCCCCGGAGCACACTCCCCAGCCACAGCAGCATGGAGGATGCCCACAGCAGGATATCCCCACTTGCTGCCAGCCCCTCTCCTTCCAGCTGGGGTTTCCTCTCATCTTGAACATCCCAGCAGGCAGGGAAAGCCTGGATCTGCCAGGCTGAGGAAGCCCTGCTTCACTGCAGGTGAGTTCTCACTCCAGTGTGCCCCCCTCTCCTAATTGCCCAATTCCTGATCCCTCCAGGCCAGAGAAGACCTCGGGCTGTGTCTGGGAGCACACTCACTTGATGTAGTATGGCACTTTGTTGGGGGAAATGGCTCGCTCCCAGGGGACCTGGACAGAGGCTGCAAGGAGAGAAACACATGTCAGATCAACACCAAATGCTCCTCTAAGCTGCTGCTGTTTCTGATGCCAGCCTTGGCACAGCAGGACTGTGCCAGCAGGTGGGTGCCTCTGAAAAGGCTGCATCTTCCCAAATCACCAGCTGGAGGTGTTGGTGCAGGCAAGGGGATGCTTCCCATAAAAAAGGCTCAAGACTGCTGGTCTTGTTAGAGACATCTTGCCTCTTGAGACAGGAGCTTTGTATCTGGCTGAGCTCAGAACTCAGGAAGAGACATTTCCTGATGTTTTGGATGATGCCCAAGGCAACCTTGTGGTGACTAGTGGGCAGGGCTCATAGCAGATGGGATTTGGGCACACAGACACAGCACTGCCTGTTATGACCAGGCTCAGACACCCAAAGCATCTGTTGTTCCTGCTCTGGGTGCCAGCTGCAGTATCTTGGGAAGATGAGGATTCATCCCACACCAGCTGCCTGCCACCCTATGTTATATAGAGGATGGAAGCCATGGCATGACCGTTGGATATTTTCCTTTTTCACAGGTAGTGTATCAATTCCAGCAACTGGAAAAGTCATTCTTCCTTTCAGATAGTATTCAGTCTGCAGACAAACACAGGCCAACAAATCCCACTGACATCCAGAGACTCTGCAGGGCTCAGCATTTCCAAGGATGTACCCCAGGCTCTGGAGCACAACCTGCTGCCCAGCCTTTGCAGGCCTGAGAGCTGTCAGCCAACAGCTCTGATCTGTAAAAACAGCATCCCTCTGCCTCACCACATGAATGAAAACCTCCTGAAAAGGCACATTTTTAGCCTCCAAATAACCAACACGGGCTATGAGGGACTGCCTTTTCCTGCCATCTGTTGTCTTGCTCTGAGGCTGACACAGTCCCAGTGTCCCCTGGGAGCTGCTGCTGCTGTGAGTGTCACAGCTCTGTGCTCTGAAGGGAAACCACACTCACGTCCCACCCTCGGTCCCAAAGGTGAGGCAGCACAGTGCCAGCTTTGGAGATGCCTCCTGCTTTGGTCCCACAAGGTGAGGCAGCCCAGTGCCAGCTTTGGAGATGCCTCCTGCTTTGGTCCCACAAGGTGAGGCAGCCCAGTGCCAGCTTTGGAGATGCCTCCTGCTTTGGTCCCACAAGGTGAGGCAGCACAATGGCAGCTTTGGAGATGCCTCCAGCTCCCGTGCACCGGGCACCAGCCAGGGCACTTTTCCAGCCTCATGCACAGCTCTGGGCTCAGCAACAGGACTTTGCACCCTGTTTTGCTGTGCCACAGCCCAGAGGGGTGCAGAGGCACCCTCGTGGCAGAAGCAGGGGGACCCACTCACGTACAGGAGAGGAAGTGCTGGGAGCCTGGTCCGAAGTCCCGGTGGGCGTCTTGGAGCTGCTTCAGGCGTTCGTTTATGGAGGCCTGGAGAATTGAAAAATAATTCACTGCCAGTCCAACAGGCATTTTGGATTGATGACCCATTCAGGAAGGCTTGTGGTGGACTAAGACATGCTCCAGCACACAGATACCCCTCCTTCTTGGTGTTTGTGTCCTCCTCCAGCCTGCTAAACCCTCTACACCTCCTCCTCCTGGGGCAGCACAGCCACATCTCCAGCTCACCTGCATCCATACTCTCACAGACATCAAAGCAGTCACAGCTGGTACTGACCCCCTCCAACACATCCTGATTCTCCCTTTGTTCCTCACACTGCCTTCTCCTGACCAAGATCTCTGCAGATTTACCAGACTCTTTCCTCACACTGAACTGATGCTCTTCTCTGCCAGGAACATCAGCTATAACATCCTGCTGAGCCAAACCTTACTTTATCATCCTTGAAGGTCAGCAGTGACAGCCCCTCCCAGCATCCTCCTGCCCAGGGTTTATTTGCAGTGCTTGCTCCTGACTCCTTCCCACCTGCAGCTGTTTCCAGCGGGTGTTGATCTGCTCCAGGGTACGGGAGTTCTCCATGCACAGGTGGACATCTGAGATGGCGAGCTGGTGTGCAAGATCATTGACCACTTTCACCCCATCCTTCATGGGGGAGAGCTCCTCTTTGAACAGCTGGAGTCCAGTGGGAATGGGGACACAGGCACAGAGCAGGGGAAGAAGGAAAGGAAGCAGGTGAGTAGCCAGGACTTGGATCTGATTCCTTTGCTACAAACTAGGGTGGGTTAGTGACTACCAAGCCACTGCTGACTAACCCTCCCACAAGGCACCTTAGCAGGGGAAAAGATACCCAACCAAATGAACTGGGCTACAGATTACTCCTGATAAATGAAATGGGGGCTGCAGATTACTCCTGATAAATGAAAAGGGGACAATGACTTGACTATGCTGAGCCACTGTACCTGTGTAAGGTCTGTGCCATGACAAGGTGCTCGGCATGGCCAGTTGCTTGGGACACTGCTGGCCAAAATCCCCCTCACAAAGCAGGGGGGCTGTGGGAAGGAGGCCTTGGCCCTGAGATCCCAGCTGATGAGGCTGCCTTGGACTGAGCAGTCCACGGGAGCAGCTCTGTGCTCCTGGGAGGCAGCATTTCACCCCCTCCACGGCCAAGGCTGGAGCCCCCTCCCAGCCAGACGTACCTTGGTGGACTGGATGTGCTCCGGCAAGGAGTCAATGAAGAGGTCCCCGATGGGTTCCCAGGTGTCCCGCACGCTCTCAGCCTGGTCCAGGGTCGTGCTGAGCTCTTCCATGGCCCCTTTGATCTCCAGCAGCTGCTCCAGGGTGCGTTCAATGTGGCGGTGCTGGTCCACGCAGCGCGCCGTGAGCTTCTCCCACAGCTCGCTGGCCACGTTGGCCTGCTTCCACACAAAGCGGCTGATGTTCTGGATCCGGTGCCGCGGAGACACATCTGGGAGGGGAAAGCAGCAGGAAACAGGGGGCAAAAATGAGAGCCCAACCCAGAGGAGAGAGGGGCAAGGGGCAGAGGGAGGACAGGGAAATGGGAGATAAAAATATCTAGGGAAAACTGGGAAAAGGGAAGGAAAACAAGTAATAATAGTATCCATCTCTGCACCAGCTCCTCTAGGTATGCAGCCTCTCTATCCTCACAGGCTGTGCTGCTTTTAAAAAGCTACCCCAGAGCACATCTGGTGCTGCCTCATGAGGTGCCCCCATCACGGACTGCACCAGGAGCCTCTGCCTTTTCCTGGATAGTGACACTGCTCTGTGCCAGTGTGACCTTTGGCCAAAGGACTGGGCACAGCCTGGGCACCGAGGTGTGAGGCAGAGCACTGATGTGCTGCTTTGTGCCACTGCAGCCACCTCCACTCCACCCTGCCCGGGCCAGCCCAGAGAACAAACCAGAGAACAAACCAGAGAACAAAAAGGGGGCAGCTGCACAGACCTTTGCTTTCCAAAGTTGGTTCTTCTAACTCCTCAAACGGGTGCTGGGAAAGGAAAGCCTGTGCTGACTCCAGGACAGAGTAAATGTATGGCCCCCGAGACTTCACCTCTTCCATGAAAGCCTGCAGAGTAGAGCACAGAGATGAGACAGCAGCCTGAGCCACAAAGCTGTGCCCTGGCTGCCCCCTTGCCAAATGCTGCAGTGATTTATTCACCCCAAGGCCCAAACCTCCCTGGAGGCACAGAGAGAAGTCAGTGTTAAGGGAAATATTTTTGTAGTTCAGGGAAGGAATGACCACCTGGCAGAAGGTGGCTCCTGCAGAGGTCTGGCCTGCAGCTTTGCTGGAGTGGGGAGGCAGAACAGCAAGCCCAGAGTGGTGTTGAGCCAGGGCTGCACAGGAGGAGCTGTTTTATTTATGGTGCTTTCAGAGGCACTGCTTGGGGATGCTCTTCACTTGCGCGTGGCCACACTAACAACCCTTCCAGCAGCTGCTCAGCAACAGGTCCAGCTGCTGCAGGAGCAAGGAGAGGAACAGCAGGATGCCCCAAAGCAGCACATCTGCCAGGGAAGACTTCAGAGGCATGCTGGTCTAGTATGTCCTCTCCTCCCCTCCACTGCAGCTCCCACACCAGTGCTGTCTGCTGAATGGGCTGTTTGAAAAGCCCCAGCAAGGATGAGGGACAGCAGCAGTAAACACCTGAATTTTGTTTTCAAGGTAAAAACATCTAAAGCCCAACAGCCACTGGCAGTGAGAAGAAAATGCTGTAATCCTGGGAGCAGGAAACTCTGATCTGCCTGGGTATACCCTGGTTTCAGGAATGATGATAACATGTTCCTGCAGGCAGCACTCATGTCCCAGCCACAGGATTGCCCCTAGACCAGCCTTCTCAGCCTCCAGGATCCCAAAAGCAGAGGCCAGTGAGAGGCAGGACACAGGGAAGCCACTACAAAGAACAGGGTTCATCACCAGCTGCAGGTGACTCGAGGCTGTAATGTGGGTTTGTTGTCCAAAACCAGATGGGCTCTGCCTTTCCTCAGAGCAGAGATGGAGACACTCAGGGACTGAGCAGTGACAGGAGGCAGGGCTGGCCACGCCGAGCCCTCAGAGCAGGGAGCAGGGCAGGCAGCAGGAACGTACCGCGTGTGTCTCCTTCTCCTGCTGCACCAGCAGGACATCGCCCCGCAGGGGCAGCTGCGCCGACAGCTCCTCATCCTTCTGCCCCAGCCAGTCAATGATCTCCTGGAGAGGCACCTGCAGCTTCCCACTGTGGTCAGAGAAGGCCTCCAGCCGAGCCCTGGCAGGAGAGCAAGGACAGTGAGCCGACAGACAGACAGACAGGAGAGCAGCAGGTTCCCAGAGGAGGGGAAGCACAGCACCATGGCTGGGTGCTGGGCCCCAGGACCTCCTCAGGGACTGGCAGCACACCTCAGCACGGGCTGTGCCCGACCCCAGCCAGCAGAGAGCCTGCACTGCCACGTGGGGTGAGGCACGGAGGCACTGGGGACAAGAAACTGAAGCCATTCCTCACCCTGGAGCCCAGAGTGGAGGACAGTCATTCTGTGTTTGCCTGTGGGTCAGAACTGCTCTGGCTAGCAAGGGGGGCTTGGAATGGCATTTAATGTCTGGGCAGCTTCCAGGAGCCTTGGATTAAGGCAGGAGACAATTAACACGCCCCAGTTAAGCTCTCTGTCATGCTGGCTGTGGAGCTGCAAACTCTGACAGTCTGGAAGGCATGTTCCCCTCATGCAGTGGAGAGGGCTCCCAGTGAAGGGACGGGCACAGAGGAGGGGCAGGCAAAGCCACAGGGCAAAAAGAGACAGCTGCAGAGGTGGCAGAGGATAGAGAGAGCAGCAGAAAGCAAACAGGAGGGAAGGAGGGGAGGGAGGAGAGGTTGGGATGGGTAGAAATGGAGGAGATGCTTTCCAGCTAAAGGACATCTGTGTATCAGAGGGGGAGCTGAGCCAAGGTCACTGTGAATTCATGTGGCTCATCAAGCAAAAAAGTTCAAAAACCTCCTGACAATCACAAGCAGCAGGCAAGGCTGGAGGGCCAGGCCAGCCTGGAGCTGCTGCAGGCAGGACTCTTACCGAAGGCTGTGGGATTTTTTTTTGATCTCGTTCCAGCAAAGATTCATCTCCAGAGGGGCCTGGGGCCCGGCAGCACTGCTTGGAGCCCGAGGGGTTACACTCGAAGGTCCTGCACCATCCTGTGAGGCTTCAACCTGGGCAGAAACAGAACCACACTGCATCCAGGGATTGCTGCCTGGTGCTTTGGGATCTTGCCTGGAGACACCCACCCAACTCTGCCCTAACCCTGACTGGTTCTTTGACTCTCAGGGGGGCTGCCCTGTTCCTTAAGTGGTCTGTTAGCAGCTCCCAGGAAACTCCTGGCTGTCTCTGCAAGAAGGATGCAGGGCCAGCTCCAGCAGCATCCAGAGCAAAGGTTGAAGGGAGGGTTTACTGCACATCTCCTTTCTCCTCAGCCATCCAGCAATGAGCTTATCTTGCTGAGAGCTGTTAAGCCAGAGCTGGTCCTTATGTGTCACAGTGCCTGCAGGGCTAATGATGATTTTTCCCATGTTATACAGAGCTGCTGTGCTTCGAGAGGAGGCTGATCCTGCTGTTCCTAGGGACCAAGGGGATCTGCCAACATCCTTTATGCCATCCCCAATGCTGGCACTTGCCACCTGCTCCTCTACAGAGGCTCCAGGATATTCCCTGCCTGCATGGCAAATCTGTGGAGCCACTTCTCCTCCACAGATGCTGCTTCTCCTCCGCAGCTCTCCAGAATGAGCAGCCGTGGGAAGGGTGCTGCAAAAGGCCATGGAGAGAAGACAGCAAATCCCAACCCAGCCAGGCAAGGGAAGCACATCCAGCTGGAAAAACTGGGTTCTGATCCCTGGACAGCAAATCCTTGTTGGAATCCTTTCCTGAGCCTTTAGCACTGTATCACAACACACTCTGTGCATGTGCTGGTGACAGCAACACACAGGATCAAAAGCCCCTCACACAGGACTCAGTGAGCGAGAGGGGATTTTCTCTCCAAAAACCACATTTTGTTGAGCAAAACACATGGACACTTTCCCATAAGTGAGACATCAATGAGCTGTGTTGGAGAAATGGCAGCATTTCGATCGAATGCTGCTTTGATATTAGAGAGGTAATTATCCCCAGGTGCTTAATCAACCATAATTAAATGTGTTAGTACTTTCTAAGCAGTATACAACAGGCCAGATAAGGGCAGCTGCCTTGGGGGAAAAGCAGCAGCTCTTTCAAGGGGAATGTGCACATACTTGTCACTTGTCCTGCCCAAGGGCTCGTGGAGGTGTCTGGAGAAGCGATGCAGCCAAGCCGAGGGAAACAACAGGCAGGAGAAAACAACCAGACAAGGAATTTGGCTGCACAGCTAAAAATACCCCCTCCACACCAGTTCTCAGAGAAAAATCAAACGATCGCCAAGACTGGTGCTAAGTTTGATTCATCTAAAAACATCCAACAGGCTGTTCTCTGCCTCCCCATCCTGCCACTCCAGAAACACCAAGAAAACAGAGAAAACCATCACCCACAGAGTTCACAGCATTCTTGGGGCCACAGATAATGACCCACTGAAGCTAAAACTAAAACCAATACTCTGCATGTGCAGGTGCTCATGGCACCATCCACTGAAGCTAAAACTGCTGCTTGCACATATTAAAACCAATACTCTGCATGTGCAGGTGCTCATGGCACTGAAGTAGGTCAGTCCCAGGGCACTGCCAGGGACTGACCAGCCCTCCCCTCTATCCCAGGGGACACCCTGGAAGGGATCAGCTCTACCTGGGTGCACCTGCAGCACAGCTCTGCAGACAACCCAGTCCTCCCAGCCTTACTCCATAAGTTAAAAGCCCACCACGCCTGCAGCTCCCAAGCCTTGCAGACAATCTCATAGCAGCGACCAAGCAGAGAGCAGGTGCCGAACACCTGCTTCCCTAGGACAAAACCCCTGCAGGCGAGCAGACGGAGGAATAAGTGCTTTCCCTCTGAGCATCCCTCAGCATCCCTTCCCCAGAGCCCGGCAGCGGCAGCCCGGACCCTCACACCCCCCTCCACCCTGGAACAGGTTTATTTTCGGACTCACGCTGGCTGTGGCAAGCGCCTCCGGCTGCGCTCAGCCCGGCTCGGCCGAGGAGCGGGCATGGCTCCTGCCGGCGGCAGCGCCCGGGCAGCGCCGGGAGCCCGCCGAGCCGGGCCCTGACCCCCCAGGAATGCGCAGGGGGCGGCAGCCGCCACAGCCAGCCTCAATCCCAGCTTTGTCCAGCGGCATTCCAGCGGCCTCCAACCTGCCTTAACCCCGCGGCTGTCCCCCGAGCACATGAGGGCAGCGATGCGGCCGCCGCAGGCAGCCCCAGGTGGGACAGCAGCCGCGGGCAGGGTCACTGCTCCGGGCGCTGCAGAGCCGTCCCTGCGAGGGATGCGCTGGGATGGCCGGCGGAGACCTTGGCCCCGATGCTGGAGCACACGCAGGGCACACAGGGGTGCTTGCCAGGAAAGGGATTTAGCCGGGAAATCATCCCATCAAGCCTCAGTGATCCAGAAGGTAAATAGGTTCTTGATATCTAATCTCAAAAAAGTCAAAGATGCCCTTGTTGTCCCCCACGTGCCCCAGCACGGTGTTGGGTACCAGCAGATGTTCATGCCAGCTTGGACCAAGTGCAAATAGTTTCTTTTTGCCAAAAAGCTCTGGACTGGCTTCTTGTGTCCCCCACAGTCCTGACGCCCAGAATTTTTATCATGCTCTCTTCCACCTACAGGGAGGGAAAGAAAAGCTCCCAGTATCTCTCCCTCTCTTCTCTGCCTGCACATCTGATGGGTGCTGACCCTCCTCTGGGACCAGCACAGCCAGCTCCCCTCCTCAGCACCCCTCGGGTGAGTCCGACAGACGGCAGGGCATCTCCCAGACTGGAGGAGGGGGCTTCAGTGAGGCCACAGCTAAGGATGGGCTGTGCAGCCTGCCCAGAGCTTTCAGGACCAGCAAGGACAGGACAGGGAGGCTGTTTCCTAGGTGCCAACAGCAGCCCCTTCTAACGGGGAGCTGTCATTAACACTGCTCCTGCCCCCGCTCCCCTCCTCTCTCCCAGCAAATCCCACAGAGCTCTGATCCCCTCACAGAGGCTTGGGCTGCTCAGGCAGGTCAGGAAGGCTTTTCCTGCTCATCCTGTTCTGTCCCTCTCCCTCCTCACTTCATTTGCCAGGCTGTTTATCAACCACACGTGCACTGGCTCACAGCAGCCTTGTAGCAGCCACCCTGGGACCAAGAAACCCTGGCTCAGCCACCAAGAGCCTGCCCCCTGCCTCATTCTTGCATGCTGGAGCCTCTCCAGAGACAGCTCTGCCTTGCTCCTGCAGATCCCAGCTCCCTGAGGCAAACAGGTCCAGGCTGGTGGTCAGCCACAGTAGGGAGAAAACCCAGGTTCAGCCCTTGCTTCTCATGCTTGAAGCACGACAAAAAAAGAAAAGGCAGAGCTGGGACCTGGTTTGTCCTGGCAAGAACACTGCCAGAGCCCAAGGGAACTTTTGGCATTGTCCAGACAGGTGAGAGGTACCCTGGGACCAAGAGCTACGGGCAAACAGGGATCCACAGCCTGGCAGAGCCCAGGCAGTGTTTCCCCACACCAGGGTGCTAAACCCCCTCATGACAGCTCAGAGCAGAGCACAGGCAGCTTTGCAGACAGTTACCAGCACACCTTTCTGTTCTTCAGTCTGATCTGCCATTTGCCCAGGGACCCCCAGAGACCTTCCTGCCCCTCTGGTGAGGAGCCTGGCCTGGGGCTCCGAGACCCTGGAGGAAGGAGGAGGGACACCAAGGTCTGTGCCTTAAGATAATTAGATTAGTCAGAGGTCAGATTCCTCCTCTGCCTTACAGCATCCACCAGGGGTTTCTTTCCAATCTCTTCTCTGCAACCAGGAAGAGTAGAAAACCTACATTTTCACCAAAAGCTGACGTTCTTCCAAGTTTCCAGGAAAAAAAAAAAAAAAAAAAAAAAGCCCAACCAAACACATAAGAGCAGTTACCGGTAACCTCTGGCTCTTTACTGTGGAAGAGGCTCGGAGTCCAGCTCTGCAGGTGTTCTCTCTTCCCTGCTTTGGGGAGCACTGTGCAGCAGGAGTGCCAGAGCAGGGCACACGCTCTCCTTAAGCGATGGGGGCTGGAGCTGACAGCCCTCCCTTCTCCAGGAACAGAGGGCCCGTTTGCCCCACAGAAAGCCGCAAGCTCTGCACAAAGGTGCCAGAGGAGGCTCCCCGAGGCCGCTCTTACCTGGGAGAGCGGGCGGGCAGCGCTGCGCTGCGCCGGGGCCGGCGGGCGCCACTCAGGACATGGCGGGAGGACATGGAGCCATTCCTGCATCACCAGGGGCTGCATCAGAGCTGATGGTCATGGGGATGGAGCACCTGAAAAGCAGTGTTAGAGTCCCCGCGTCAGCTTGCACCTCCTCACGGAGCTGACCCCCTTCCCAGCTGCCTGCAGCGCTGCCTCCATGGCAGCCGGAGACTAAAAGGAAGCATTTTTTAATTTAATGTACTTCTACTAGTGCTGCAATCTTGTTTCATCTAAGCATCCAACTCTTCCACCTGGTTATGCAATTTGCTGTTAGTGAGTCCCACAGACTACACTGCACTTTTAGAAAGGGTTGGGTTTCTTGAACTGTACAAGATGGTTTAAAGAAAGGGAGAGAGGATCTCACTAGCATGGCCATTGTTATAGTTTCGGTTGAGATAACATTCACTTTCTTCCTAGCAGGTGGTACAGTATGGTTTTTAATCCAGAACAACTTATGTTTAGACAGAACAGACATATCCCCATAACAGACAACATTTTCAAACATATTTTTTCCTTTTATATTCAGAAGGCAAATTGCCTAGAGCCCCAGCTTCATGTATCTCATACTGTGAGCTAGATTTTATGAGTTTTTGCTCATTATGAGCTATAAAATTCCCTTCATTATCCCCATTTTTGAACTGCATGACCTGTAAAGCCAGTTAGCAGTGGCCCCTTGACTATTCTGTAGATCAGAAATGCAACCTCTGGTCACAGTACTGCTGGGTTTTGTTGTTTGGACTCTAAGTGAGCTAAAATAGGGATTCATTTCATTGCCAGCACCATCTCAGCTTTATGGAAAGCCATGAGAAATAAAGCTGAGAGAAAACTTGCTGACTGCTTTCCTACTTAGAGAAGGTGAAAATCACCTGCTCCAGCAGACAGAGCTCGTGTCTGCCTGGAGATGAGGCTGCTTTGAGACGAATGAGTGATGCTGATGGAAGAAGGCTGCTGGCTCCTTCACACCCAGCTCAGCTGGACAGCTGGGGGAACCCTCCTGGCAGGGCAGGAGCAGGCAGCACATCCTGCACTGACAGCAGCCACTCTGCAGAGACAGCTGAGGAGAAACCCCCCCGGCCCCGTGCCACTGCCCATCTCTGGCACTTTCACAGCCCTCACTCCCCTGCCTGAGCCTTCCCTGCCTCTCTGCCCTCAATTACACACATTAAGAGATTATCCTATGATTTTTTTTTAAATCTCTTAGTGATTTTCACAGCCATAATTCTCTCCCTTTCCAGCAGAGCAGCCTGTGCTGAGCTCTCCAGCAGGCTGACAGTCCAAGGTCTCATCCTCTCCCTCTCCTGCCCATTAGCACCACTGAACATTGCAGGCTGTGCATCCCTGCTCCTCTCCCCATGCAGGCAGGGGATTATGAGGGGATTATGAGACCCACACTAATAATTATAAATTCCAGGGTCTTCAAAGCTCTCCAGCCTCTCGGTGCAAATTCAGCACACCCAGCCCCAAGGGTACAGAAGATTTCTGACAGAAGGTAACAGCACCTCCTTTCCCTCCAGTGCTTGCGCCATTTGGGCTCTGTTGCTCTAGATGACCTCTGGATGACACTCAATGTAGCCAAGATACAATTCTCAGGGTGTGAAAAGCTATTTTTCCTCAAAGCCTCTGACAAAGGAATGCCACTGAGCTCTTCCCCAGGACTGGGAAATCCATGGCTTTTGCAGTGAGGTTCTGATGTCTCCCTGAAGTTGCCATCCTGAGGTTTTTCTGTGGCACAGTGCAGTGAAACCGCAGGGATGTGTGCTGGCCAGACGAGATCAGCCCTCCAACAGCACACCCAGGGGCTCTCTGCTCTTAGTCCTCCCAGCACAGGCTGGCCCCAGTTCCTGCCACACCACAGAGAACAGGAGCAGTAGTGGGCAGGTGACAATGCTCTGACTGCATCTTGCAGAGTGACAGATGTGCATGCACGGGGCAGTGCAGCTCTGAGACAGGGGTGGGTAACCCTGGTCCTGCAGGTGCCCACGCGCGGGACCTGGAGGGTGCCCACGCTCCCTGCCAGCATCGTGGAAATAAGGACAGCCACTGCTGCACCTCCTGAGGGCTGGCTCCTTGAACTCCTCCAGGGATGGCAAAGCCCATCAGGACACAGATGGCACAGGGAACTAAAGCCTGTCCAAGGCAGCAGTCACAGAACAAGCTGAGTGCCAAGCAAAGGGCACTACCCAGTCATGTCCTGTGCAGCCCCTTGCTGCCACGAGCACTGGAGCAGGTTGGAGGGCAGTGGCCCAGCTGCCCTTTGCCACTCTGCAACAGCAAAGACAAAGCCCAGGGGTAGAGAACCTGGATAGTGTGGAACTGACTGAGCTGCTCAGCAGCCAGCACAAAGGAGCACGTTCAGGGGGAGAGAGAGACAACCAGACTGAGAGGCACGTCTGCAGGCAAGCCAACAGCTCCATGTGACCCCTTGCCAAATTCCCTGCTATTGCTGGAACCAAGCAAGGAGAAATGCTCTTGGATCTGCTCTGCTTCTCTGCTGAGGCACACAAAACAGCTCCAGTTCTGGCACTCCTACTTCAGTGCTTCCATACAGCTCTGGGGCTGGGCACTGCAGCATGTGGAGCAGAGATTTTGTGGATGCTTCCTGGCTAAATTCCTCTTGCCTGATGCCTATGCCTGCCAAGAGCCAAACCTGTGATCCACTTTGCCTCCCCCACATCACCATTCGCCCTCTGCACTCTGCTTTAGGTTGGTGCTGGAGACCCAGCACACGACAGCAAAGGTTCAACATCATACAAACCAGACTGAAGTCCAGACAACAAAAACTATCATCCCCACAGCCTACTCCAAGCCTCTGATTGAAAAGGAGTTGAGATTCTCCTTGGGAGGACTCAGGGAACAATGTG